TTGGGGTGAGAGAAGGAAGACAGGATAAAGTCATGCTGTGGAAGAGAGCCAGAGAATAATAACTATGATTCAGTGCAGAGAGGTCTATTAACACATAGTGAGTTAGAAAGGTGACTAAAGAGGAAGTACTCAATGCATCATAGGATTCCCCAAGCAGTCTACACCTACTGCAGCATAACTAAGAGTTATGCTGCATTAGTTATGCTGGGTTTAAGGGCCTAATCCTAAAGGTAGAGATAGGGTCTTCCAGACACAGGATGTGTGTGGTATGGTTCATGGTTTTTCTATAAAAATACTGGACACAAAACATTATTTTTACTTGTGAAAACATAAACAATATCAGATTTTGTTATCTATTCATAATTTGGTTAGTGGTTTACAACATTAATAATAAGATAATCTTGATGTCCAAAATTAGTGAGCTGATCCTTTTAAATCTAAACCATAGTTCAAAATCAGCATACAAAGTATTTTAATCTGCACGTACCAAATCGTTCTGTTAGCTCGAGCCTCTCTGTGTGGTGTCAAGTTTGAACGTTCTCCTCATCCTGACTCTTAATTGAGTTTGTGTAAATGTGAGTGTGGCTGACTGACAACCCTGTGAGAGACAAAAACAAAGTAGTCTACCAAAAAATATAAACGCGGTGATCTAAAATTGCTGAATGATTATTTGAGCTGTTTTCTAACACTGAATTTGAATGAACTACTGCTGTACTCAGATTTGAGTCCATGGTCAAGTACAGGAATCAGTGCCCACATCCTTTTGAAATAGACCGGACTCTGAGCCAGATCAGACATGGACACTGCTAAAGGTTTGCTCTTACAGTAAAATTAAACTAATGTGGGTATTGACACTAAGTGTCCCCGTCCAACCAAACCAAAACTGCAGGTGAAGTCGTATTATAAGTGACTTTAAAGAACGATATCATTTACACTAGCACCACATTTTTGTGAAGTGAGACATATTAACTTCACGTAAACTTTGACATTTTTGCATAGATTAAGGAATGTGGATTTTCCTGCTGTGGATAGGAGAAAAAAACTGCACCAATGTAAAAGGCCATGTGTATGGTGGCCCTGTGAGTTCAAATGCACTGAAACTGCAGCAAATAGAAAAAGGCTGCAAAAACAACAGAAGAACAGAAAAAATAATGCAGTAAAAGTTCACAAAGAAGAACGAGAGAAGTGTTTTGGGGAGACAAAACAGAAAACGGCTAAAAGCAAACAAATGTTTACAATATTATATGAATTATGTGATTAAAACACACATTACCTTGCATCTTTTTCTGAATCCTTTTCAAGTATGTCTCAGTAAATTCTTTTACATGTTTTGGTTTCTGTCACTTCCACAACTTTTCCATCTTACCTAAAAATCCATCAGCTGTGTTTTGTGAGTTTTGTTTTTTCCCCCCCTTCCATTCTGTTTTTTTCAACTTTTATTCAGACCTTTATGTTTTGTTTTTGTTTTGTGTTTTAATTCAACCGTGTTGAACAGCCACTGTACATATTGGATACGTGAAGATTGTTCCAAGGTAGAGAAAAATGTGAAATTATAGTTTAGGTCACAGGTGTTGAAGGACCCACATTAGTTTAAAAGCTTCACATGACTGTCAGGCAGATGTAAAACTCACATGGCAGATGGGTATCACAGTGATCCCCCGCCAACCAGCAGTTACCCATTTCACAGCAGGCTGAGGCTCGGCTCGCTTTGTCACACACACACACACACACACACTATGTGAGGTCTGCAGTGCAAAATTTGAATTACAGTGCTTTGTATCTCTCCCTCTCACTCTCTCTCTCTGTCTGTTTGTCTGTCTGTCTTTCTGTCTCACACACACACACACACACACACACCAAAGCACAGAGACAGAAGCTGGTCAACTGCTGTGCAACTGGGATTGAACCAGAGG